TATGAACACTTTTGCTAGCTGTTTTCTTCTTTTTTGTCTACTTGTGTATCGGGTATAAAGGTTACACAAACAAAACAGGTTTCGTGAAAATGAGCTCTTCAACGATTTTAGCGCGTCATCATGTGCTTAGATTCGGCTATTTTACAAACCAAAATTGAGTTTTACCAACTCAATCTCTGACAGCCATGGTTTGAAACGATATCTTTGAAAATAGTTGGGCTAATCCTTGTTTAACGAACTACTACAGGCATTTTGAGAGTAAGAACGTTAAACAGTTGAAAAGCATAAGTAAGCTTTCTTTATAAAATGCACTCGCTGGTTACAAGACAGTGGTAGATTTAAGAGTCTGAAAAATGTGTTACACACGGATATATAGATAAAGTAAAGAAGTTACATGTGTGAAAGCAAAAAACAAACTGAATTAATTCACAATTTGATATTAGCATGGAAATGTTTGTAAACATCATAATTGAAAATAAAGAGAGAATGGATATATGAGGGGTTATAATTCATAATTAGTCTCGATAAAAATAATTAATCACCACTTAATACAGTGATAGATTAGAAATTGGTCAATCAGTTTTTACATGAATTCAGTAAAATAGATAAACTGTTCGAGCCTTGATTAGACACGACTAGATCTAATTTTCCATCACTGTTTAAATCACTCGCTGTGATACTGCTTGGTTGATCACCTGTTGTATATGATTGTTCGAACAAAATAGTTTGATTGCCACTTCCAAAGAGTATAAGGATATTGCTTGAGCCTTGATTAACTACTGCTATATCAATGTTGTTATCTCGGTTAAAATCACCCGCTACTAAAGCAGTCGGTGTTTTACCAACCTTATATTTGATTTGCTTCTGAAAGGTTCCATTTCTATTACCAATCAAAACACTGATATTATTTTCACCCAGATTGGCTACAATCAAATCAAGAATATTATCGTTGTTTAAATCAACTGCTATGACAGAGCTTGGATTAGCTCCAGTCATGTATGTCACATGAGGTTGAAAAGTCCCGTTGCCATTGCCGAATAGTATACTGACAGTTTTATCGGCGAAATTAGTCACTACCAGATCCAATTTTCTGTCGTTGTTGAAATCAGTTGCAAAAGCAGAAGATGGCCACTTACCAGTTTTAAATGTCACTTGATTTCCAAAGGTTCCATTGCCATAACCGAGAAAAACACCGACATTGTTGTCATTTTGGTTTACTACTACCAAGTCTAGATTTGTATCTTGGTTGAAGTCATTTGAGATAACAGAAGATGGTCGTGTTCCACATTCAAATATAATTTGAGATTCGAAGGTTCCATCTGGATTGCCAAGTAACACGCTCATAGAACTATTGTCTACATTAGTCAAAGCCAAATCCAGTTTCTTGTCCTTATTGAAATCACCTGCTACGATAGAACTGGCCATTAGACCCGTCTTATATGATACTCTAGTTTGAAAAGTTCCGTCTTCATTGCCGAAAATTAACAACATGTTGCTATCACCTGTATTGACAAGTACCAGATCCGATACATTATCATTATTAAAATCATTCGAAGCTAAAGCCCATGGAGTAGTTCCAGTTACATATTTCATTTGGCGTTGGAACGTTCCATTTCCATAATTAATGAGCACACTAAAAGAATCATCATGGACGTTACTTATTGCCAGATCCATACTGCCATCCTTATTAAAATCAACCGCTACTATTTCACTTGGTGATATACCAACGGGATATATCACAGGATTACTAAAGGTACCATTCCCATTACCGGACAACATGACGACAGAAGCATTACCAATAAGAGACACTACTAGATCCGATCGGTTATCTCGATTGAAATCATGTGCTACTACAGCGAAGAGGCCTATGCCAACAAATTGTTTCATTTGAGGTTGAAAACTTCCGTTGCCATTACCGAGCAGCACACTAATGAAACCATCCTCATTATTGACTACTATCAAATCTAGTTGTCCATCGTTGTTGATATCGTTAGAGGCTATATACGTTGGTGCGCGACCAACTTCATACTCTATCTGATCTGAAAAATTTCCATAGCCACCACCAAGTAGTACACTGACGGTTTCTGAATTGTAGTTTGCCACTGCTAAATCCGGTTTTGAATCATTATTAAAATCACTCGACATGATGAAGTATGGTCCATTACCAACTGAGTAACTTGTTTGATATTCTAGAATGCCATTTTCACCACTAAGCAGTAGAACAACAGCATTGTCAACCGAGACTACCACTGCCAAATCCAAGAAACTATCGTTGTTGAAATCAGCGGCTACTACATAGAGAGGTCCATTGCCAACGCTATACTCTGTCTGAGACTGAAAGGTCCCATCCCCATTTCCAAGCATTAATGTAATAGAATTAGCATCCCTATTACATGCTACTAGATCCACATTGCCATCATGATCTATATCACCCGTTGTCACAGAAACTGGACTGGTACCCGTCGTAAATAAGATCGGAGACGGATAGTTCCCTTTTCCATCACCAAATAGAATATCTATAGTTTGATAATGTTGATTGACCACTATCAGATCCGTAAATGTATCATCATTCAATAAGCCAGATAACACAGCAATTGGTGATTTTCCAATCTCATCGCTTGTCATAGTTGGATAGGGGTCCGTACACACGTATTTATTCGTATCTTTATCTCCTAAAGAAGCTCATTTTTCTTGTAACGGTTTAGTAATCAAATAGTATCTCAATATAGAGATTGATTCATAACTAAGAGAATCTCTGCTGATTTAGAACCTATCAACTAATTTTTTCTGTATCTTTCAATACTCTTTTTACTAATTTATGCAGAATAAAGTGAATCGAGAAAAGAGTCATGCATATGAAACTTTTCGCATGTTCGTGAAAATTATGTTGATGAAGGGAAGGATCAATTATTTGTCTAGAATCAACGAAATTTTTCATGATGAATAGGCATAAGTATTTATTTTTCATAACAGCTTAACTTATTATATGTGCATGATAATCTCTAGAAACAGCAAGTAAAAGTTTATTGTCGACTAAATACGAATAGCTGCCGATATCTTGTATTCTGACACTTTCATTTGAGCTTACCACATCGTTGATTAGAATATTAAGCATGAAAATATTGTATGATGGCAGAACGACTAGATAAATTCAATGTAAGTTGAGTAGATGTTATTTGAGGAAGAATATTTTCATATACTCTCAAGGATAATGTTTTTCGTTAAAGTATGGATTTCTCTCTCCATCATGAAGTTCAATTTGAAATAAAAAAATAGAAATCAAAAGCAAGTTATGAATCTTTTCTTTTCAATGTGCAGTATTAGTGTCTTCTTGGCTTAGTTCTACTACAAACAAAGCTGAATCAATGTGCCAGCAGTGAAAAGCTGTTAAGACAATGAGAAAAGATTTCTTTCCTGAGAAAAATTATTCGAGAGAAGTACAAGAGAACGGCTAAAGAAAATTTTTATCCATATATCTGATCCAAATTATACTTAGAAGCGGAACCAGAACCATGAAATAAACCAGGATGAAATCAGAATCGTTAGAACTGAAGAATTTTTTTAAATAGTAATAATTCATTCAAAAAAAAATTTAGAATTATTTTTGAAAAATGCTCTAAAAGCAGCCGATGAGTTACTGCAACTGAAATGGAACAGAAAATAACTGTACAGCTGTCTTGCAAGCCACACATAATAATCAAGAACGAATCATAGTGACAACAATAACAAAAATGCTTAAGATGAATGAAGATGATATTGGTTTTTGTGATAATGATAGAGAATGAGACGAAAAGAAAAGGATTTAATGAGTTTGCTTTAAAACTTCTTTTTTTAGAGAAAGTAATTAGTTGCATATGAAGATCTCATATTATATAGATTCTCCCACTTTGTCTTTTGCTATATTTCTTGAAGAAATACCTTTTTTCAATAGAATAATAGAATTAAACAATCTTGAAACATGTAATATAAACATTTCTAAACAAGTGATATTACTATAGTTATTTGGTATTCTGTTCGGTTTTGCAGAACCCTCAATATTTCGAGATAGAAACGGGCATAAGAGGGCAAAATCAAATTCCGAAGCGATGAGGAACTGCCAGAATATCTTCGAATGAAGGATACACTAGTAATGATGCTACTGGCATCGTTACTGTTTGTACCCAGCCTACAGGCATCGATGGAAACATAGTTACGGGCTACTGTAATATTCCGACTTATTCAATACACTACTGAACCGTTTTAAAGAAATGATTTCGTGGTACTCTGAGATGAAAAATCTGAATTTAGCCTGAGTTTTCAATAAAACTTAACCGAAGGTAATTAATGCTGAAGAAGCCTGTCTGGAAGGTTCTTTTTCAAGTTTTCTATTCTTAGCTCAGCTGCAAGAAACTCCTAGCTTTATTGTAACTAAGTTTAACTGTCCATCTGATAACGTAGGCTTTCACTTTTACTCTGCATTAGAATGTTTGCGAGTTCCAATTTGAAAATAAAATTCTATTTTATGTTTATTTTCGTTTAACATACTATGCAAACTTCTCAAATTCTTCTGATAACTGCAAGCCATTTGCTCATGTACATATTCATCTCTTACATAACTGGATAGTATCCTTCGAATTCGTCGCTATATGTTTTTCCATTGAAATATTCGTACTCGTTTACTTCACTGCTTTATGAAAGCGCACGATGTATTTTCTTGAAACGAGAGTAGTGTTTTGGAATTTATGCAAATGAATAGCTAGGCGCCTTTTAAAAAGCTAGGAATCACTAAATATAAACTCTTCTGTGTTTGGTTCTGAATTGAAAACAGTATGGAATAGAATACCTTGTTCTTTGTTTGATATTCGTGAACCAAGAACAGCGCCGAGAATGATCGCTGCGAAAAATATCATCATCAACGAGCACATTGGGAACACAAATCTCTTCTTGCGATACCATGGGCGTCTTGAAAATGTGATAAGAATTCTCGTGAAAAATATAGTTGAATGAAAATAGAATGAGACTTACTGAATTTTTGGATAAAGACGTGCATCTAAACATAGAAATGTCTCAGTATAAAAAGACACATTTAGAAATAATCAAAATACCTTCGAAAGGAGGCTCAAGTAGCATTTCTTTTGGTATAATCTGCTTCAAATGAATGATGTAAAGATCGGGCGCTGGACTCAATTGTGACTGAACTACCATATGAGTGCCAGGCAAAAGAAGAACTTCATCTTCTGTAATGAAATGTGAATGAGCACGCACCATTCGACCATTAATTGCTTCGACTGAGAAGAGTGTTCGTGCGCCCATTGTGCCCAAATACATGTTATTTTCAAGTACAGTCATTTCAGTGGTGCACGATGAAAATGCCCACCATGTGACTAGAGTACCGGGTGGAAATTCTGCACTCAAATCTAGTTTTACACCTCGCCAGACAGTTAGTGGTGGAACACATGGTAATTTGACCAGGGCAGTTAAGAACAGTTTGAGATATCGAAAATAGGGCCGAAGATTCTCGCGACTAGCCATCTTAAGAGTGTAATTAAGCATCGAATAGAGACTTCGATGTGGTTCTTCCCATTCAATTGTGTAGAGACGAATCGCAGCACTTTCATCGACTGTTAATTGATCTGGTGGTTCGTCTGGAGTTTTATCCAGAGCCATTTGAACATAGAATGATAAATTATAGAGAATATCGGTCAGTGGAAGGCATGCATCGGCAAGTGGTAACAAAGGCTCTTGAGCGTAACCTACAATGGGATCAAGGTTCGATTCGATAATATCAACAACATTCATTTTTGATGGCTGCACATCTTCATTTATAAATTCGTTCTCTTCAGTATATTTTCTACAAGAATTGCTATTTGTACCACCAGTATCATGCACTGCTCCTGCCATCTGTCTTCGATCAACTGTTTCTTCCCCGATGACGGTCAATTGTAGTTCATCATAATTAATCACTACATCCGATTGTTTCCTCTTTTCTTCAGATCGAAGATTCGCCTTTGAAACTTCATATTTAATGACGGGTTGTTGGTTTTCAATGTCGATATTTTCCGACACTGTTTGTTCTCGATTATTGATTCTGCTATCATCAAGTGTAAATGTTTTTTGCTGATTCTGAATGTCAACATCGTTGACCATTTCTCGTCTTTCATTTTTTTGTCCATCGATCATTTTCTCCTTGTTTGCTAATATTTGCTGCTTAAAAATTAAACAGAATTATTTCATTGGAAATGCAGATGAATAAGAAAAAACGACTCAGTGAAAATGAAATCAAACGTATATGAGCTATTTATTTCGACTAGTTTCAAAAATGATCCTTTCTTGGTTGCCATTTATTTTATTCTATTTCATCTTAATGAAAACAACACTATAGCTGTTAGGAATAAGATTGAATTTTGAAAAAAATTACTATCAATAATCAAGTTGTAAATACACACCTGTTTACTTTCAGCTGGATTCCTGATTGTTTGGCCATCTGATATACGAGATTGGTCATCATCTTCATTTGTCTCCATGTCAGAAGTATTAATATATAAATTTTGTGTTCGATTAGGATGTATCTGTCCTTTCTTTGAATCTTAAACGATACTTCATTCGAAATAAAAAAAAGCTTGTCAGCGCAATTCCAACAGGGTTAAGGTGTGGGACTGAAAACACAATACCACACTCAAAGATAAGATAGATTTCGGCTCACTCCCTACGATCTAAAAATATGAAACGCGATAGATTTATTTCACATGAAAATGAAGACAGTTGTTATATTCAGCTGGTTGTCTTACACGGTCAACAAATAATTATCTCTAATCAGGGTGTAGATGTGGATGTGGATGTGGATGTGAAGTGTCCTTTAACCTGAACCGGAACCCACACCCTCTTATTGTCCAGAATTTCCGCATGAGTGTTTATGTGTGGTGAAGTAGTGTTCGTAGAATTTCATCTGTATTGGACTAGTGTTTGTGGGTGTTCGTAGTTATTTACTGGAAAAATTCGACATTAGTGACTTGAACTGTTCTTTTGCAACGCTCTCCAAGAGTTGTTCGTGGGTGTTGGTGGACATGATTCAATGAGTAACTAGGTGGGTAAAAACATTATTCCAGGAGGTAACGCTATGATTTCAAATAGGAATCATAACAAATTTTATACCAAATTAAAGCGCATCGAAAATGGAACTTTTTCATCCTAAATTGTAAGAGTTATCAAAACTTTTTGATGTCGAACTTAAGAAATTTTACAATTTTTTTGGGATAGAAAACTAAGACGTCAGTAATTCAAAATAGGGGTGAGAAAGTTATTGTTATTTTTTTTGTTATTATAACAATAACATTCACTTTTTGATTCAAAAACATTAATGAAACAAGTGTAAGCATAGTTTGTGCGTACGTCAAAAAATCACTTTATTCATACAGTATCTTTATTACCATTTGATATAAGAACCAGCCGTAAATATTTTGAGAAATCGTAAATTAACTTTTTTTGTTCTTGTTATTGTTATTGTTACTGTTATTGTTATTTTTGTATAATAATAACAAAAAAAGTTATTTTACGATTTCTCAAAATTTTTACGGCTGGTTCTTATATCAAATGGTAATAAAGATACTGTATGAATAAAGTGATTTTTTGACGTACGTACAAACTATGCTTGCACTTGTTTCATTAATGTTTTTGAATCAAAAAATGAATGTTATTGTTATAATAACAAAAAAAATAACAATAACTTTCTCACCCCTAATTCAAAAATGGATTTTAGTATTTTCTTTTGATATTTTTACATGGTTCGATAGAGCTTGTCGAGCTCTACAAAACTGAATATATTAAAATTTTTTTAAGCTAGTTTTCTAAGATAAAAAAAAATCAAAAAACCACTTGGAAAATGCTAAAAAATTTTAAAAAACTCATTTTTTTTTCATTTGAGAGAAAAAGACTCGATTTTTCAATAAAAATAGCTTTTTTTCATTATTTTCACTAACAGAGACGTTTCAAAATGTAACCGCCAGATACAGCGTGAACAACTGCGTCTATTGATTACATTTTGAAACGTCTCTGTTAGTGAAAATAATGAAAAAAAGCTATTTTTATTGAAAAACCGAGTATTTTTCTCTCAAATGAAAAAAATGAGTTTTTTAAAATTTTTTAGCATTTTCCAAGTGGTTTTTTGATTTTTTTTATCTTAGAAAATTAGTTTAAAAAAATTTTAATATATTCAGTTTTGTAGAGCTCGACAAGCTCTATCGAACCATGTAAAAATATCAAAAGAAAATACTAAAATCCATTTTTGAATTACTGACGTCTTAGTTTTCTATCCCAAAAAAATTGTAAAATTTCTTAAGTTCGACATCAAAAAGTTTTGATAACTCTTACAATTTAGGATAAAAAAGTTCCATTTTCGATGCGCTTTAATTTGGTATAAAATTTGTTATGATTCCTATTTGAAATCATAGCGTTACCCCCCTGGAATAATATTTTTACCCACCTAGTACTATGTATCGATTAGAGTAGATCCAAATTCTCTTTCAGCATGTGGTGTTCGTGAGTGTGCGCTTATTTTACTGGTACTCCTTCTGAAGACGTTAACCAAAGGTTTACACTGTCGAAGTGTATTTGTCCATGCATTAGAAATTTTGAAATCATCAAACAGCAAGAAAAAATTTTCAAATTAAAGTAAACAATTCCTTGAATAAGCCATTCTTCAATGCATACTACGCAAAAAAGTCCATATGCGAAATTCAACGCAAACAAAACCTTTCAAATGTCTTGTCAAGTAAAAATGGATGTGAGTGTGAGTACTAAGAACATCCACACTTCACATCCATCCCATCTGAATACCATAGGTGTGCGTTATCAAATGATCCTAGGAAAATAACATAAATCTCTCTTACTAATTTTTTCCAACTCCGTCTTAAAATATACTTTCTCACACACAGTTCAATAATGAGTGACAGGAACGTAGCTGGCGAAGAAGGCAAAAAGATCCCCTCCCCTTCCTTTAAGAAAATGATTCACTATAGAGTATAGAATAAAAATAATTTTACGCTGTCGAGAATGTTTTTTTACCATGGCCGACCCCCCCCCCCCCCCCCTCCCCCGTTTCCAAGAAAAAATTACCAGCTACTAAGTGATGGATGGTAAACAAACTTCCACTTCTCTGCAAAAAGAAATGCCATGGAGGTAAGAAAAAATATTATTATTCTATTCTGGCACACAAGCAAGATTCTCTATGAAAACATAAAAGCTCTTACACGAACACAAAATAGCTTAATAGCAACAGAACGAAAGAGTTTCAATAAAAATCTATCATGCTGCCTTTCTTTTGTTTTTATGCATTCTCTTCATCAGTTTTCTTTCTTTCCCTTATCTCATTTCTGATCCTTCTTGAAGGAAATCTGGAAGGATCAGTGACTTTTTCAATTTATAAGGACCTTGCTATATTTTAATCAGAATTCTGTTTCAAGTTCTATCCATTTCTTGCTTCAAGATTTTCTTTTAAAGGTTTTTCAGAAACAGTTTCAGTATCCTGTTCTGAATTATTTTCTGGAAAGATATAGTTGCCGAAAAAATCTATTAGTACGATTTTGTTTTAGATCAAAGATAATCAATATAAGGCCTTTTTAAGATTTGATGGATACAAAAAGAATCACCACGTCTTCTAGTATTTATCTTATAAAAATCAGAATTGTTGACTGAGCCTATGTAAACTGACAAGTCAGGCATTACGTTTAACAAATCAGAATTTTTCATAAATTGATCGTTATCACTCAGTTTCAATAACAGCACTTTCCTTATACGTGTTTGGCAGAGTGTTGAGCGAAACACGAGACGTTCTTTAAGTGACACGAACAACTAGACTAATATTTTTCCAAGACGAATGACTATTACAAATTCTTCGATAGCTATTTTTCAACGTTGAATGTAAATCAAAATGTCAATAATAATTACCGATTTCAATTGTTGTTTGCAAAAAAAGTTTTGCAATCGTTTCGTCGGCGTATGTTGGCAAACGTTCTTCAAAGAAAAAAACTTCGTAATATGCTAAGAATTCTTCACAAAATTAATATAAATTAAAAAATTTGAAACTTGAACAGAATGTTTTTTACACAAAACTTCTATTGTTTTGCTCAATTTCTGGCGTTCCTTTTCAAGCAATAATTTATGTTGAGACTGATTGCATGCCTGATTTTTAAATACCATTATTCACTATGATCAATAAAAACCAAGTTTTAAAACTATAATGTGACGATGAATCAAGAATGTTTTTGCAAACTGTATGTAGAGCACAAAATTTTACATCGATTACACCACTTAATAGACAAACGAGCAAAACAATAACCTTTCTAACACTGATTTTCTTTTGATTAATTTCTTTTTTTTATCGTACTTTTTCTCTTCACTGGAAGAATAGTCTCTAAAAAGCAGTAATTAGATATTTTTTTTTTGTCCGTCTATTTGTGTATCCATCAAGATTACATTTGTAAAAGCACCTACTAATGCCATCTTTTTTATCCAAATGATATAAATTGACTAAGAATATATTCAATGGGTTGTATCAATGATTGAATTACGATCAATATCTGCAGACGAGATTCAGCTTCGAAAATAGAGTAAAGATGGCAGTCAAACACGTGTCAGCTGCCACGAGTAGAACTTAAACTTATTTCGTGTGTTCTTATGTACAAACTATGAGAAATCGTGTACGAGGGATGTGAGTATGGTTGGCCGGCATCAATATTCACACTCATACCTATGATATAAATATGTATTATTCATCTCGAATAATTATTGATTTTATAATGATGAATTGATACCATCTATGATGATTATTTTAGAAAGATATTCAAATCATTATTGGTGTTTGTTCATCGTCTTTTTAAGTACAAATTTGCATTATTCTAAGGCAT